TTCTCTGTCCCTGTAACATTAGTACCAACTATGGTACTTTGGTCCAGAACCAATAATGAGCTACATTATTTTTTTTTAAACTTAGAATAGAAACAATTCTCCTAGAAATCCATTTGTGGTTATCTAATTTGAAAATATGACATTACACAAAAAGGAAGGGTAATTTTGATTTAAGAGAATTCCTGAGATGCTAATCCACTTCTAAGCATATTTTATTTTGGAGCGAATTTCAAGAGAGGAAAATGCAAAACAGCTATTTTCTTTCTAAGACCACCGTTAATTACCTTAAATTGTAAAAGAAAAAAAAAAGTCAACGAACTGTTAATTGTTCTACAGTGAAACGGCTGTCATACAGCTAACCAACTACTACTTTTTAAACAGCACTGTGGAAACTTACATTTCACTTCTGCTACGTGCGTTTTCAGATTTCCCCCTTGGAACAAATTTAGAGAAATCTGTCAGAAAGCATCATCCTCTCAACCTAGCTCTGTCGCGTTTTTTGTTTTTTATTTGTATAACGTGAGTTTTAGTAGGATTCAGGGTGACCCTGGGAGTGGAGGTGGAAACGTTCCCTTTCTCAGGCAATGGAAGGGAAATTCTATATTGTCGCTGAAATGAGCGCGCTGGGTGAAAGGAATCCCTCATTTCCTAGGCGATGTGATAGGACTTCATAAACTCGGCAAAAGCCCTTTGGACTCAAGAGTTCCTGGTACCCCTCCGTGGAGCCCCACACAGCCCGCTATACATTAATTTTAGTTCCTCAGTGAGGGGCGCGCGGCGATTTTATTTCTTTCTGCTTTTCAAGTGTGCACTGCGCCGCGTTTTCCCAACCCGCGGGTCCGGGGAAGCGCACGCGACCGGCCGATCTCAGTGTTTTATTTGCTATCATCATCCTCGTCGGGCTTCGAACTCGGAATTTATTAGATGAAACTCAGCTAAGCAGCAGCGCCTGGGTGCTGCCCTTGAAAACTAAACCTGTGGCGCCGCTTGCCTTCACCATAACTTTGCTTTCTGGAGACTTGGCCTCTTTCCCGAGGATCCCGCAGAGGTGGCGCCTCCTCACAGCCCTTAGCAGGGTTTCGGGTTTAGGCAAAAGACCCGAGCCCTGGAGTAGCCTCCTTGAGTTTTCCGAGGGGCAGATTACCCAAGTCGGCTCCTTCCCCCCTTAGAACCAACTTCTGTGCTTTCTGTACTATAAAGCTCCATCCCTGTCCCCGGAGATCCCCAGGTGCGTTTGGCGGTGGCTCCGGAACCCTTCGTCGGCTTTCAAGGAACGCACCTAACCTGATGAGAAAAGGACCCACAGGCCCTGGAAGTTGCCACTAGAGCAGGGGGCGTCCAAGCCCAGAGGCAGAGAAACGGTGGCCCCAGGCGGGAAAGCCGCATTTGGGGAGGTGGTAACGGTGCAACACTCTGCATCACTCGGCAGGGTGGAGGGTTAGACAGCGGATGCTTTTTTTACACTGAAATAGGACGTTTTCGAAAATTATTTTAAAACATAAGCATCAAGACCCCAGACCCAATGAAAGAGAAAAAAAAAAAAAAAAAAAAAAACGCAGCTCGGTATGGCAGTGTCGCGGGCTTTCCAGCGCAAAAAGAGGGTGCGCGCCCCCTCGGGGAGATGCGCTGCGGGCCGCGGGAAGCCGAGGCTGTGGCAGCGTGGAGAATGCACCTTTGCCCGGGTGCGCGGAGCACCAGGCGCATCCACGACGTGGGCCCAGCCCACGGCCAGGGAAAGGGAATTCGGGAAAAGACCCGGCTCAGGCTCCCCCTCCAAGGGTACGGAGACACCAGGGCCGCACACGATGCCGTCTAGTTTTCTCAAGAGCGGCCCAAGGACCGCGAGGGGTACTCAGAGCTCCGCGCCCTCGGGGCGGTCCGGGCCTGGAGCTCGGCTACAGGGCCCTAGGCCCTGACGTCGAGCGAGGGCCGCTGCTGCCCCCTGGCGTCCGCCTCGAGCCCGCAGCTCCCGCAGAGGCCTCCCCACCACCTAGCGCAGCCCGCCGGCCTCCCGGGGCCTGGGGCGGGGAAGCGGCCAGACGCCCGGCCCGCCACGGTCCCTCTTCCCCCAAGCTTCGGGCAGCGCCTCGGCAGCCATGCGCCCGCCTTGGGAGGGAAGAGGCGCGCGGGGACTGACGCTGAGGGGCTTGGTCGTGTCGGAGAGGCTGCGAGGCCCTGGGGAAAGAAGGGCCTCGCCGGATAGGGGGCACAGTGGGCCGAGCGCCGGGCGGGAACCTTTAAGCGCCACGAAAATGCTCGTGGCGCCGTGGGTCGTGCACAGAAGTTCCCTTCCGCGCGCAGAGCCAGGGTAGGTGCAGCGCACAGCACCGCTCGAGAGTGGAACCGGGCGTCTCCGTGGAGCTCGAAGGCGGATGCGGGACTTGGGTGACCGGGGCGTCTGGCTCCGGCTTCAAGTACCCAGCCTGGGCCAGAGGCGGGCTTCCCCTGAGTAGGGTGCGAGCCTAGCGGATGCTTTCAACTTTTCCCTCCAGCCTCTGGCTCTTTGAGGCCTTATCTTACTAGAAGTCCCTGTCCGGCCGCTACGCGCGCTGCGTAATCAGGTTGCAGCCCAGACACGGCGAAAAATACTAATAAGAGAAAATAGACCGGCGGAACGCTAAAAACACGACAAAAACAAGTCGGAGAGCACAGTCTCATCTCATTCAATGAATCGGCGCCACTTCGCTGCAGCGGGCGACCAGGCCTCGGGGGCGCACAGAGCCGCACTCTGGCCGGCCCCGGTCCTGCGGCCTCCAGGCGGCCGCATCCCACCAGCCAGGGACGCTGACGCTCGACCGTGGGCGGCGCCAGGACCGCGGAAGGTCGGAGGCTCCCCGGAACCCTCGCGGCAGCAGGGGCGTCTCCAGGGCTCCGGGGAGCCTCCCTTCGGTTGATCTCCCGGCCCAGGCGCAGTTTTTTGCCTGGTTCGTCCCCAGGCAGGCTGGGCCTCCGCCTGCTTCTCCTTCTTCTGGGGCTCCAGACCGCGGTCGCCCGGGGCGCCACTGCGCACTGCGACCCCTTGGATACGCCGTACCACGACCGCGAGCATTACTGCCGGGCTGGGGTCCGTACCCAGACAAGCGGGCAAGCGTGTGAGCTTGTGCGTGTGTATGCCATGCGGGTGCGCGGGGTGGTCAAGGCCACCGAGGTCCCCTCGCTTCGGCCGCGTACAGTAGCGCGCGGCGGCGGCGGGGACGCGCGGGCCAATTCCAGGAGCTGGCGGCAGCGAACCGCGCCCTGGTTGATACCGGAAAGGCCTGTGATTGGCCGACGGCCGCCCCTATGCAAAGGAGCTGAGGGAATGGAATTCCTAGGGCCGGGCTTACAGTAAAAGCACGTTCATTTCCAGGCACTCTCATTCATAGAGCCAGCGGGCGCGGGCGGGACGGGCGCCCCGCGGCCGAACCCAGCCAGGGCACCACGCTGCCCAGCCCTACGCCGGCAGGCACCTCTACCCTGGGCTCCTGGGGACGACACCAGACAGTCAACCTTTGCTGCCCCTCCTAGACCTGCGTTGGAGCTTTCTTTTTATTTTTATTATTTTTTCTTTCCTTTCTTTCTTACTTTTGAATGAACTGGCTTCTTGGCTGGATGTTTCAACTTCTTTCTTGGCTGTGAACTTTGTTTTCCTGATTTTTTTTTTCTTTTAACAACTGCGAAAGTGCGCGGTGATTCGAGGAGAGCGGTGAAGTTCTGTGTGCGTGGGGAGAGCGCGCGCGCGCGCGCGTGTAATCCGAGCCCCAGGGTCTATTTGGACCTGCGCGGCCGAGTCTCCTCTCCGGGCCGCCTCCACCTGCTGCCGTGACACTGTGCTCTTGGGGATCCGTGCAGCGGAGCAGCTAGGCCGCCAGTGCTGGGAGAGTTGGGAGGAAGATCTCGCGACTGCCCAAGTCGGGACTGTCTCACTGAGCCGATGTAGACAGTGCCCAGCCTCGGAAGATTGCGTGCCTGCGTGTGTATCACTCGCTACAGCTCAACTCCCACCAAACCACAGGATCAGCCGCAAACTTCACCAACATCCACCCCTCAAACCGAGTACTCAGATGGGGAGACCTCTGCTGTAGTATCATCGAATTGGACTTTTTTTTTTTTTTTTTTAGAGATTAGCAAGAGATCTTTGAAAAGCTGAATTTCTTTTGCACTGAGCGTTTTGCCAGAATTTACTAAGAGAACATGACAAGTAATTCTAGCCCAGCCCTCTTCCAACTACTGAAGCTGATTTTCAAGGCTACTTAAAAAAAAAAAAATCCGCAGCAAACATTAATGGATTTCTGTAGTGTTTAAATTCTCTACAGATTATATTGTAAATATTTTATGAAGTAGAGCGTATGTATATATTTCTATATACGTGCACATACATTAGTAGCACAACATTTGGGAGTCGCGGCTCTTGCTTTTGAGACCTGAAACCAGTTTTTCATGATAAAAGGGGCACCCTGTGCGGAAGACACTCCTGAATTTTGCATTCTGTTGGGACTTTAGAAAAAAGCTCATCTGCAGCAATAATAATAGTAACTAGAAGGCGATTAACTACTGGAACTTCCAAATCATGTACTTGCTGGTTGTTTTGCTCTCTGCGTAAATATTTTGCTCTCTGCATAAAATATAAATATTTTGGACGGGAATTTTGCCTCCGGGAACTTTTGTTCAGCCAAAGACTGAACTTAAACTCCCAAACCAAGACTCAAGACATCAGCCTCCTTCTGGCGTTTAACTTTGGATTTTCTAGTCGCCCGCTTTTGAATGCACTAAGAGTTGGTCGGTAGAGCGCTGCCCGGGTCTGAAGCCCATCGGCCTAACTAGAATTTACGCTGCCCTGGACTGTTAGGAACTAAGTCCCCCGCCCTCCCCCAGCCTTCCCGCTGTAATAAAGGCCCTTGAATTTGTATGTTGGTCTCCCGGGAGCTGCTTGCTGAAGATCCGCGCCCCTGTCGCCGTCTGGTAGGAGCTGTTTGCAGTGTCCTTACTCAATCGGCTTGTTGTGATGCGTATCCCCGTAGATGCCAGCACGAGCCGCCGCTTCACGCCGCCTTCCACCGCGCTGAGCCCGGGCAAGATGAGCGAGGCGCTGCCGCTGGGCGCCCCGGATGCCGGCGCCGCCCTGGCCGGGAAGCTGAGAAGCGGCGACCGCAGCATGGTGGAGGTGCTGGCCGACCACCCCGGAGAGCTGGTGCGCACCGACAGCCCCAACTTCCTCTGCTCTGTGCTGCCCACGCACTGGCGCTGCAACAAGACCCTGCCCATTGCTTTCAAGGTACTGGGCTGGGAGCGGGTGGGCAGTGGGAGGACTGGCTGAAGCCGGTGGATGCCCAGGGTGATCCGGGAGACTAGCGGCTGGGCTGCCCGGGCAGCTGCTGCCCCCGATGGCCCCCTGGTCCTCCTCCTTGTGCTTGGGATGTGGGGATGCTGCGTTGCCGTGGCGACCCCTCGGGCGGAGACCCACTTCAGCCTACCCGCGACAACCACGCGGAGCTAATCAGATTTCCCCCCAAGATAACCGCTCAGGGCCGCCCGAGACCTCCTTTTTCTTGGATACAATGTAGCAGTACCTGTCCTTATCTTTGGTACAAAGTAGGCAAAGTTTTATCTCGTAGGGGCCAAATCCTTCTGCTTCTTCACAACTCTCCTCCACTGTCTCTGGATTATACTTAAACTAATTTTTCTCTCTCAGATGAAGGTATCCGGAAATGAAATACAGATAACTTCCATCCTTACCTTCCGGTCATTAAAAAATAAGTAAATAAACCAGCATTGAAAACTGTCAGGGATTCCCCCCCCCCGCCCCCTTTCTTAACTGCCCTGTAGCAATTAGCATGTCCAAAGTCCACGGCGGTAGGCTTAGTCAAGTTTGCAAAAGTTTTCAGAGTTTTGCTTGCCTTGCTCCAGCCAGAAGCTGCAAGACCTCCTGTTTCTCTTCCTGGAATCCTCCTGGACTTTATCGCTGGCTCACCTACATTAAGCCGGGAGCAGCGAAAGGTGACAAAGTGTCTCCTGAGAGCCAGGAGGCCAAACCACTCTAGCCCTGCTGTTAGAGGAGGAAGCAGCCACGTGGACCCTGGCTCTTCAGCTGAGCAGCCTGGGTTTGCGGTCACTTTTCACCCCTGATCTTGCCCTAGCCTTGAGCTGTCATTAAAAGTCTTGGCCTTCAAGTAGGATAGATGAACAACCTCCTGCGTTTTAAAACAACCACCCCACTACCCTGGCAGCAAACAGTAGCAAGAATTTAATTTCTGCGGTGGGGTTCTGTTCTGACTTTCCTGGGATTTTCTGTTGTTGTTTTGTTTTTAAAAGTGTAGCTCTTTAGTATAATCACTGTAGTCATTTCCTGTTTATTTAAAAGGCTATTGAAGGTTGGGGATGCAAACTGTAAGAATAGGTTACTCTTCTTTTTTTAAAGTTGAATAATTATCCCCGTTACAGGGAAATTAATTTAGTATAAGCTTTTCATAGGCCTTGGCCAGATCTTGATTTAACTACAATGATTAATGTTCACTTTTGCAACACTGCTGTTGGAGTTCTTTAAACTTTATCACTTTTGAAACTTAAATCATTATTTTTAAAATAAACATAATTTGCAATTGACCTTTCATACAATTTCTTCCTTTCCACTCAGCTGTCTGATAGCATTTTTTTAAACCAGTGGTAGAAATTCGGATAAAGAGAGCTGCCTGTTCCTTCCTTTTTTTCTATTTGTTTAGATTTGAGTTTGGGAGTCCATTTGGATTTTAAACGATTCTAATCCTTTTATGTAAGCAGATTCAGCTGGTGGATCACCTCTGCTCCCTGTAGCCAAGAGGAGGAGACCTGAGGCTGGGGCTGGGGTCACTGTCAGATAAGAGCACAGAGTAGGCAGGCTGATAATCAACCAAAGGGCCTTTTAAACCTGGCTCCTACACCCCAATCCTGATAAGGGATTTGTGGATTCTTTTGGGGGAAAGTCAGGATCTCTTCTGAGCTCTGTCCTCCCAGGGAAACCATACCCCAATACATCAAGATAATAAATGATTAATGAAAAGGCTTCAGGAGTTGGAGCTATGCAAAAGCTTCAGCTACTATATGAAAATGTTATTTTCTTCTGAAGGTTTGAAAAACTACACATTGCTTTAGGAGTCACGAGGGAATTCTTTTTAGCAGAAATCATAATAACCATGGAGGTTTCCCTTTAAAATGACTTGATGATATACAAAGTAACAAAAATCTGAACTTGTTTTACTAGATGATAGGCTATAAGCAATTACAAGGTCAAGGTGTAGATCTCTTGAAAAAGAAGTCCAGGTGTGTCTCTTGGGAACCTTTTTGGGAAGGAAAAGGTCAGCAGAGAAATCAGACCACTTGATTACTATCTGTCACCACCCCATTGCCAGAGAAGAGAGACCATTTCTTCAAGGAGATTTGCCCACCGCATTGCTGCAAAAGCAGAATTTTTAGTGTGAGAACCAGTGTAAAGATGGGAGAGGAAAGCAAGCTGAACTTCACAATCCGCCTGTCTCCAGCCTTTACTGTGAGCCCCTGGCTGTACTCTGTACTTAACCATCCACTAACACCCTAAACAGTTTCTGCAAAAATTATTCCTTTAAAATTTAGATTTTAAACAAGTCTCAATCTTTTTAAGAAATTAATCCTTAGGGAATTATATTTCCTATGACAAAAGAAAATGTGAAACGATGATGAAGTCTGATGATATTGAGGAAAAGAATATTTAAGTATCTTTTTAGAAGTCTTCTGAATTTCTGTCTGTAAATCCTCTGTTTTAATCTTCAGAGCTAAGGAGACATTCAAAATTATGAATTTTCTTTAAAGTAGATCAAAACGATGGTAATTGCTGACCCTGGACCCCATCCTATTCTCCCCCTGCTTCCTTCCCATGGAAGACCTTTATTTTAGTGCAGGAGAGGTATATATTTTTACTACCAGAAAAATCCTAAACTGGCTACGTGCTACCCAGTATTTACAGAAGCAGCCTACGAAGCTGTTTGGATGACTTAGGAGAGATTTTGTAATACTATGATATTACAGTTTGTTTAGGCCCTGGTACATCAGAGTCCAAAGACATAAACACGCCTTCAGCAAAGAAATTCAGGGACCTTGGATGCTGATTGTAATATGCTTTTCATAAAAAAAGAAATAAGTAATGTTTCTGGCTGCAAGATCATGGTCCCCAGCTATGCATTAAATGTCATCTTGGCTGAATTCTGTGTTCCACTCCAGAGCCTTCTTTGAAACATCGGAAGATTAAGGGATTCGAAGTAAATGAATTGTAACTGTAAATTCAACCTAATTAGGATTGGTTAGAAATGCCTGTTTGAACTGTGAACAGGCTAGCCAAGAACAGGATTGGGAGAACTAGATAGTATAGAGGAGAGTTGATATTTTGCCCAACTTCCTGATACTTTAAAAACAGAGAAGTAAAACAAAATATGAGATATCTTTGGCCAACAAGTCCCTTCTTGTCTGTTTGGTCTGTGTTAAAATGTAAATGTTTGTGTTCCTTTACCTATTGTTAATAGCTTTTCATTCCAGTTGCTTTTCTCTGTTTGAAAGTAGACATGTTTTCATTCTCTTCATATTGCCTATCAGTGGCAAAATCCATATCAAACTTGTAGATGCATTAGTTTAAAATTTTTAATATATCCTAAGTATGCTTGTTAATTGGATAATATATAAAACAAAATTTCCCTGGATTTAATTTTGCTCTCCATCTCTGCCCCCAAATACTTTATAGATAAATAAAAGGCCAAGATGGTGATATTTGACCACAGTAATATCTTCAGTTTCTGCTGCATTTTAAAAAATGGGAGGGATAAGAGTTAGACTCCTAATTTTTTATTCTTAAAAATAAAACATCAAACATATTTTGTTATTTGGCCTCTATGATTATTTTATGCTTTATTTGCTCCTGGCGAAGGTTTCCAGGGCCTGCCAAATTACTAACCAGGATAGTATTAGACTCCAAGGTGGAGCACAAGGAGAAACAGCACAGGAGCACGGTGATTCAGAGTGCATTGGGTAGTTATAAAACAAGATTTATTTATTTTAAACTCTTTCCAGATTCAGCCCCAACAATGAGTTATTCAGTTTGAAAGCCATGTGGTTGATCCCATACCCTGTACACTTACTGAATATTCAATTAAAATAGAAAAGCTTGGGTCACCACGGAGAGATGAAGATGAGGAAGTAAAAATGTGTGTTCAAGGAAGACATTTCAACACTGTGATCTGATTTCACAGAGGGAAGTGAAAATTGTGAAAAAAAGAAACGGGAAAAAATTTAAGAGGCTGAAAAGAGCAGAGTAAAGCAAGAACATTTTGTAGGAACAGAAGGTGAGGCTAACAATGGTCAGTCAACTGATTGAGGAGACTTATTTCAATAGTGTCATTTGAAACAAAGGAGAATTGTCCTATTATTGCTCTTAATTAAGTGGCAACAAACACATTCATAATAGGAGCTAAATACCTAATTGGAGACTGCTTAACGAATAAATAGCAGTGTTTTAAATTTCCCTCTTTAGAAAAAGGTGTCCAAAAAATTGGAACAAAGGCATTAAAAACAGAGATGGAAGGTCCTGAGCTCCTCCTCAGTGCAAGCTGGAGGATAGAGGAGGAAAATCTTGCTAAAGCCATGAGAGTAAACTGTTGTGTGGAGATCAGGGTCCAGAGCATGCCCACTTCTCGGAGTGACTGGGTTCATTTTCTGCTGTGCTCCTTCACCCCGTGGAGCTGAAGCAGCCACAATGAATAAAAACAGTACAGAGTCATCTGAAGGACACAGGGAAGGCAGGAGTCATGACTAAGCACGCAGTGAAGATGGGAAAGTTGAGAAACTTGACTTTAATATTAGATAAGTGAATCTGTGGCAGCTTTATTTACCTACAGAAAAAAAACCCAATGAAAATAGTCCCAACAAAAACTGAGATAGCAGTTACATACTAGTAAATACTGAGAGGTTGGAAACAGAAAAAAATAATAATAGATTAAGAAATGCTTGATTATTACCAGTTCAGAAGCAGCCCTCCATAAATGATTATACAATGGGGATAAATAGTACAACTTTCACTACTGCCTGAGAAAGTATCATGAAGAATATTAGAACTGTTACGAATGAATACAACTGGGGGCCATTTGATTTGAAAATTTACAACCACGATGAGAAACTAACAGTGGAAATAAGGGCCAACAATAAATGTCTAGACCAAGGAAACATTTTCTAGAAGGGTCAAATGGAATGGCCAAGAAATAGATCTGTTGCACGAATCATGTGCAGGCCCTGCTCTTCAGAACATTTTACCTTGGAATATTCCTTTTTTTATTCCTTGAGCACCAAAAATGGTTATTGACTGCTTTTTTTCAACAGCCTTGATAATAAATCATACCTTTTCAGTTAAATTAAAGGGATTCTTTGTCAAGATAGCTGGGTTTGGAGAACACCTTTGGTCATCTGTCAGAGTACAGTTAGTGCATCTTCAGGATCAGAGATATAAAAATGTAGCTCAATGCTAGCCTTAATTTGAGGAAGATGATTAAAGTGTGAGTCTCTTTTCCCTGAGGCCTGTCACTTTGGTAATTAGTAGTAACCAACAGGTACCTTTCTGATTTTACTTTCTTGCATACCAGAATTCATTGCTAATGACATTGAGTATGATACAGATGCATGGGCATACCAGCAGTGAATTAGCAAGGGACAGTTTATGTCATTTGAAAATGATAGCAAAGATTGGATTCAATTTTAAGTTTAAATACTTAAAAGTGAATTCTAGGCTCCAGCTCTGATAGGCCTGCCAGGGGCAGTCTGAGCAAGTAAAAGATGGGTCAAGTTATAAACTTGAGAACAGAAGGCATTCTGTTTCTCAAATATGAGGAATTAATAAAAGATGATTGTACTCACGAGATGGCATAGCTTCTCAACACCCTTGTTATTGTTAGTCTGGTTCAAACTATGTTACATGACTCTGTGTGGCTTTATTAGGTAAATTTAGCAAGTGTTTCATTATTTGAAAATTTATATTTAGCTATGCATAATGGAATTTTTTAAAGTGTTACCATTAACAAACTATTATGTTGCTACTAGGTTATAATTATTATTCCTCTGCAAACTAAAAAGTATCATTTAACATGCATTTAATTTTAGAACAATGGCACACAAATGACATCAAAGTATATGTCTAACATTCCTAATGTCTGCATTTGTTCCTACTCCTGTCTAGGTGGTGGCTTTGGGGGAAGTTCCGGATGGTACTCTGGTCACGGTGATGGCCGGCAATGATGAAAACTACTCAGCTGAGCTCCGAAATGCTACCGCGGCCATGAAGAACCAAGTCGCAAGATTCAATGACCTCAGGTTTGTCGGTCGGAGTGGGAGAGGTATGTATCTGTGGAAACTGAACTTGAAACCCAAAGTAATTACGTGGCAGTGAACCCAGATCAAAACTTCTAGCAGTTTCTGTGATGGTCTTTCTTACTGTTAATGCTATGTCGAGCTTTTAAAAAGTATTTCTTTAAAATTTAATATTTTTGGCAGAATCTAACTTTACAGGATTGGTTTCAACTACTGAATTATTTTAAGACTGATTTAGAACACGTGAAACATGAATGGTGAATTCAACAAAATGCCTCATAATTTTACTAAAATCTGAAAATATAAAACTTAGCTATAATGAGTACTCAGATTACACAATGGGGAAACTCTTTCATAACAGAAAACCTATTTAATAAAAGCCTTTAATTTACAATTTATGTGCTGTCTCTGACAAGGGTCAGGGTTTCAAATGATTACTTCAAATAATTTTAAATGATCCCTAGTGTCTGATGTGGAAACCAAGTTTCATGCAAATGTACCTTTTTAGGGCAAAATAAGAATAAACAGTGTCAATACTATTAATGAGACTTTTCTGTCAGATTTCTTTTGAGTGCCTTACTATGATTTGAGGGAGAGATTGGGCCCGCTTAACATTTTAGGAACCAATAATGTGAAAGACCAGATTGTCCAAAAATATTATTGCATTAGTTCAGTTTTTATTTTTCATCTTTAACCTATTAACAAGGTATCTGAGCAGGGAGAGAAATCTGTACTAATTATAATCTTCTCTGATTTCTGATTATTTTCAAGTATTTTATTTTCTCTATATTCCAAGAACCTATGTCATATTTTATCAATACCACAAGTACTGGAAAAGGTAGGATTAATTGAAAAAGATAGGATATTTTGCTTGAAAAAGTCTCATGTTTATAATATGGTATTAAATAAGTTTAAGAATAAAAGTTATTTCCAGTTAAATAAAAAATACATGATAAGTATTTAGTGATAGTAATAATGATATTACTAAGTGATAGTGATATCTCATCTGTTGGAAAAATAATAGAAATACCAACCAAAGAACACTTAAATAGGAGTAAGCATTACTCTTTATAAAAGTGTTAAAATATGTGTTCTTAGAGAATTTCACTAGTAGAAAAGAAGAAAAGAGCTGTTGTGTGTTGATGATTTTGGCTTTTGTCTTTTGCTATCCTTGCTGTCTGGAGCATTTCATAATAAAACTATAGCTGGAAAAAAAGTTTTTAAAACCTATAACATGATTGAAAATATAAGTTCATAGTGCTATGTTAATCACAGGATAATGTAAGGAAAATTATATCCACTTATTAAAAGCATGAGGGATGCCATAAGATATAAAAGCATATGTCATTAAATGGGTTCCCTTGTTATATTAAAACTTCCTGCCTTTCAGTAAATGGAATTTGCATTATGATTCAGAGAAGTGTGTTTAGAAAACATCTTGAAGGCTTCTGATGAGTAGCTGGCAAAGTGGATGAGAAGCCAATAAACAATAAAGGTCTCTCAACCAGGCCCATGCCCAGCTAACCTAGCTGGCAATCATAATTCCCTTCTTGTAGATTGCTAGGAGATTTGGATCTGATAGCTGAGTATCATATGGTTCCTTGTCCAGAGAGAATATGATGATCATAATGTACATGTATCCAGGCCTATTGTCAGGTTTTGGTTATAAAACTTTTAAAAGCTATTTAGTGGCCCATCCAGTGACATGACATTTTCCCATTGGAATCTCAGTTGTGGCTTTTTGGCAATGCACAATAAGTTGATGATAACAAAGAAAGAGATTTTGAAAGCAATGTGCCTCTTTCTCTGGTGGCAAGGGCTAATCTCTCATCCCGCATTGACCATCTCTGTTTTGAGTAGGTGACTGATAGGTGCTTGTGTTTACTTGGGTAACAGTGAACTGTTTCCCCAAGGTGTGGATTATTTGCATTTGGCTTCCTGATTCTTCGTGCCTATGTGCCCTTGAGTTTTCATAAACCCCAAAAGTAAAATTGCTGTAACCAAGGCTGGGTTGTCTTCTCATATTTTGGAATGAAAAACAAAAATTAACTAAATGCCATAAATGGCAGTACTTGTTTTGAAAGGGCTCGCCTTCCTATGAATGATAATAAGTAATGAAAAATACAGGAACCCTAATTGAATATTTGACCCAGTTATGGGCCCTGTGTGTAATACTGGTCTTGAGCTTTTTTTAAAAATTTTTTTTTGTCTTTTTCTTTTTTATCGGTACCAGGGATCGAACTCACGACCGCCTGCTTGCAAGGCAGGCGCTTATGCCACTGAGCTAAATCCCCAGCCCCCGAGCTTTTTTTTTTTTTTTCGGTCAGTGCCACAAAGCAGAAATGAGCTGTCAGGGGGCCCAAATCAGACTGTCTCATAATTTCACTCCATGGTCACACAGTACAATTTGATTTTGCTCTTTCAAGTGTAAGTGTCAACATTAAAGCCTGCTGGATTTCTTCTTTTTTTGTTTTGTTTTGTTTGTTTTTAATCTACAATTTGCTTTTCCACTGGGAAGAAAGCAGATGATTCTCACAAATTTTGACAATTAGTCTTGGGCCCGCTTCACAGCACATACACTAAAACTGGGACAATTAATCTTAATTTTCCTCCGTGCATCTTATTCCTTAAAAGTTTCATTATGTTTTATTAAGTGATCTTACCCACTATCTTCTGTTTTGTTTTCTGTTTTTGAAAATATGCCTTTGGCACCGACCTGCCACACAGCATTCTGGCCTTTGGTCAGCGGTTCACTTCAACGCCAGTTTTGAATTCTGTCAAAAGCTGTCATTAGTTTGGTCTAATGGATTCTCAAAGGGGCCGGTGCTTAGAAGTGAATAAAAAGTGGGCGTTTCTCCTCCCCTCCTTTTTTCCCCCTTTTTACCCGGTGCCACACTGTGGGAGTCATAAACCTTGTAGAAAATGCCAGAATCTGCCCATGGGAGCTTTTTTTATTCTGTTCTACAAAACTGATCTGTCTGGGGCTGGCTGATGTCCAGGATCACAGTGCTAACCTAGGTTAAACCAGCAACTGGGAAAACCTGCCTGTCCAGCTTTTAGGGCCCTCCTAAGTACCGGGCCCCTGAAGATGTTGGTGAAGGCCTGGGTTGCATGCACCTTCCTCTGTTTCTTCATTTCCTCCTTTTCCTCCCTGGTAGTTTAAATTTCCTTCAAAGTGTATCTCACCATTGGAATGTTTCTTACTTTGATTCAGTATCTCCATGTAAGTTGACCTTGCCTTTACAAAGGAAGAAGAGATAGCAGCTCGCAGGAGAGCAGAGTTAGAGGGCCCTAGAAGTCCACTGAATCCTAGAGATTAGAGCACACAGGTGGCTGTTCCCCACAATGCAAGTTTTAACTTCATGACCTGGGACTATCAAGTCACCTCCAGGAAATTCAAGTTCAGGGTCAAAAGGAATTTTCTTGTGAGATTAATCAGCACAGCAGTGTACATCACTTTACACCTGCAATTAATACAAGTACTGCTAATATTTAGAGATACAAGAAAATGCATTGTGGCTTCAGATGAGAGTTATTAAAAAGTGTTAGCGGTGACATCCAAGAGTGCTCTGTCCCTCTCAGATGTTATAGTATTTAACTGAAAGAAATCAATGCATCAGCAAATATACCTTTAGTTATTTCATTGTAGAACCCATAAAGAAATCTACCAAACTTATCATCAACCAAGTACATGTACACAGTATATGGTGTACCATTTAAGTTTCCAGAGCTGCTGGGATTTGTTTGTAGATCTCCTAGGGACCTGCAGAGGCTGTGCCTGTGAGTTTGGAACTTTACATTGACCGGCAACAGTCCACCTAGCACTATACTTCACACACTAGTTACCTGCAAAATAAGTAAATCGTTTTCTTGCTCCTTGTGCTGATTTGGTGATATCTAGTTTTGTGATAGCCAGGCCCTGGTGAATTAGGGAAGCAGGGGCCACACAAAATATTTGTCTGGACATTGAATGGACAGCCACAGGGTACATCCAGTCGGCTTCTTCTGGCGTGGGCATCAATCCTGGCTACAGAAAAACACTTCAGATTCCAATCAATTCCTTTGAACTACAAGGCCGAGTATTCTGTGGGCTGTCTAGACAAGGATTCATTTCTTAGTGGAATTTTTGTTGTTTGTGTTGACCACTCTGGCCACTTGAACATTGCCCACTTTCAAAATCGTACCCCTTCCCCAGTACCCCACTTTTATAAAATGAAGTCCCTTGCTTATGCCTGGCTATAAATTTCTTTTCAGACATAATATTTATCCTGCCGCAATCTGGGTTATTTCATATTTGTATAAAGTTGGTGACTTAAGGCATTTTCATTCTTAAATTACTTTATGTTATTTAGGATGCAGTATGGGGATGTTTCTTTTAGATAAAAGTACAAGACCAGTGCAAATGAAGGCTGATTTGGGAATTGGATAAAGGATAAAACTGCGGTCAGAACCAAGAGGCACTTCTTTTTGTCCTGGTTTTTCCTGAGTGGAGGTCTGAATAACTCACAGTATGCTCATAGGATTTAAGTCATTCCTGTGTGATCACAAATTCACATAACGGGGTAAGGAAAAATTTATCTGTCAACCCCAGAGATGTTCTGCAGATAACATTCCCAATGTACACTGGCAATCACATCTCCTAGGAAAAACAGAAGGAAAAGACACGAGTCTTAAAATCATAAAATCAAATCTCCCATTTTCTCTCTCTTTTTATTTTTTATTTTTGCTTGTTATTGAGCTCTACTTTAAAATACATATGGGATGAAATTTGTTTCCTTTAGATTTATGAGAAAATAAAGTTTAAAAACAAAAAACTCACTAAAAAAAAACTCAAACAAACAAACAACAAAAACAAAACAAAACTGCTTCTCTTGCAAGCCTCAGCCAGTTCTAGCAAATACTTTCTTTCCATGGCAGATCACAAACTTGCGTCCATGGTCTGATGCAGAATTCATCTCTAGAGATCAGGTTTCTCGTTGTCTTTTATATTTGCCATTAAAAGAGTAGCAACATTTTTTTCAAGCAG